TACAGACCTGTTTTTAGTTTCCTGTTGTATACATTTTTTTTGTCTTACTTGCTTATAATGATTTCATGACTAACAATGAATTTATTAACCCAATCAGAGCATGTCGTGATTGATCTAGCTAGCTGGTAATCTAACAGCCAATCATTGCCTGTTTCCATCTCTCTCTTCTTGCAGAAACCAGTAATGACACAGGACTCATGAGGAGGAGGCTGAGCATTGTGTGACTGACGGATTGTGACCACGTTTGTTACACTTTGTAATAAATTGAAATTTAGCGGGAATGAAAGAGAGATTTCTATTTTAATAGAGACTGTCAGCTGGGATGGAAGAGCTTACATTTACATTTAAAGATGTGTCCTTGTGATATTATTGTGTTAATTTACTGGGCTAGATCCATATTATATTTATATGTAGTGTATGTTGCACATGACATGGAATAACTTTGGTAGAGCTGCATTTCATGATATACTTATGGTTTGCACACAGTAGCATTCAAGTTAACAGTGTCATCTGAAATCTGTTATTTATTCCACTGTTTCCACCAAAGAAATGAAAACATGAAACGATGTTTAAAAAATGTTCTAAATTGTGTTATTTTAAGTACAAATAAGTTACAGATTTTTCATTTTTTATCTTCATGAACAATTGCTAAGCTATTATAACTAGAGGAAAGTTGAATTGATTGTAAGATTTTCATTATATCATAGAAAACTCTAATATGGTTAGTTAAATATATTGTGATGTATATGAATCAAATAAATACATTTATGCACATTCACTGTGTATTATAGCACAATATTGTGTAACTTTTTAAAAATTTCTACTTCTACTGCAAATATTTATGCCAACAAGAGCTTTAATGGAAATGGGCCTGTGTGAGGTACTTCGTCAGTGTATTACCTACAGTAGATAGAGGTCAGATCGCCCCCAGTTTGGAGAAACAGACAGTAGTCCCGGCAGAGAATCACAGAAATGCACTCCTGTGGATGGGTGCTGCATAAAAACGTGTTTTAGCCACATTAAAAAGGCCCACGTCTAGCTTCAGTTTAGGCTATATTAAGAATATTTTCACAGATTTACTTTGCTGTAGAGTTTTTAATTAAGCCCAACTCTGTGGTAAAGCAGTGAAAATATTCTTAATGTAGTCTACACATTTTATGTTTTTCAGCAACTCCCAGCCACAGCTTTGCGTAACTCTGCTTCTGTGCCAGGATTCCTATGTGCTTCCCCAAACTGGGGGCGCACTGACCGCCACCTACTGTTATAGTAATACATTGACTTTGTATAAGTACCTCACAGAACCCCACTTCTATTACTACTATTTATAAGGTGGTACAAGTACAGTTTGTATTAGAAAATACGCCTAAAATTGGGATTTGGAGCTCCTTGGTAGCTGAATGGTTACCTCGCATGCTACATAACACGCCTTCTCTCCCCATGTTTCCTGTCTGCCTATTAGCTGTCAAACTGTCAAATAAAGACAAAAATGCCCCAAAAAATATCTTTAAAAAAACGGGACTTCATTTTTTAAACTGACTGAATCGCACATTTAATGTAGCATTTTTTATATTTGTCTGATGTTTGATTTAAATATGTTTTGATGATTTTCATAAACTGCATCCACATACAGACAGGTGAAAGTTAAAGAAAGCAGAAACACAAATACTTCCATTTTGAGCTCACTGAATGGTTTAATAAGAATGACAGTGATATAAATCAGATCCTGTGACCTTTTGAGTTGCAGATTTTCCTTAAATTAGTCACTCATCTTTAGCTTTTTTAAATTGTATTCTGTTATTTCTGTGTTTGAGATCACAGTTTGTACTACTGAGAGAAATGAATCACCCGAGTGGCATCGTTGAGTGTTTCTAATTATTATCTCTTATTAAATTATTTGCAAACTAAACTGATTCTGTCATTGTATCTTTTTTTATTTTCCTTATTAAGCACTATTGTTGTTTCTGACCATAAATGTAACATCAAACAGCATTTTCTGCAGCGGTTCCCTTGTGCATTTAATTCGCCTTTGTTGCCTCTTCCTGTGGCAGAACTGCATTATCTCACCATAACCTCAACAAATGTGTTTTGTTGATACAGTGTTGGCAGCCTCTGATAGCATTCACATTAGCCTGTTATTGCCTTTTATGGATCACCACACAGTCCTTCTGATGTATATTTTTTCCTTTTAGTTGTTATTCATTTACATGACTGAACGACCCTGTTTGTTCCTTGAATCCACAGATTGCATCAGTTTGTACTCAGCAGATGCTTTCAAGGTCCTTTACAAAAGATCTTTTATGAAGTCGACACAAATATTTAAGTAGAAATACACAACATTTTTGTATCCATAACATGAATTGACTCGCAATATAAGTTTATGTTTATAACCTTAGAAAACTAGTTCAATACTGAACATAAAGTGTTTAAAACAGCTGCTTAGAGTTAGCATTACCAGTGAGGAACAAAGTACAAAGCACCACCTACAGACTTTTAAACTGCAATAGAATATTAAAGTAAAAAGACTTTATTGTTACCACAGATAGCGTTTGACTGACAGATGAGTCTGGGAAGCGAAGAAAGCATTAAAGAATTACCATAGTTATGAAAATCTCACAAATTAGCTTTAAAGCTGCAGTAGGTGACTTTTATAAATATAACTTTTTGTCATAATTGCTAAAAGTTTTACTATATCTACTATAGATTGTCTGTCTCATGTACTACTGTCAGGACAAAGTGAAAGGTTCAGCAAATATGACAAAAAAATATTTGTATTAAAATCACCTACTGCAGCTTTAAAGTTGGATTTTCTCACACGATCCAACAGAAGTTTATTAGGAACTTTCGGGATTTGGTCGTGCAATTGGTGCACTGTTGAGGTGTTTCACTATAAGGGGTAAGAACCAAAGGGGTGTAAGTGACATTTTGGAGATTATTATGTATGTTGTCATCCACAAGTCAGGACCAAGTGTGGTCAGTGGGCAGGTCCGTAAGGAAATGTCGTGTATCATACTTATTATTCTTGAGAGGTGGGTGACATCAGCATATCAACACATTGCTGCCCCTCCTGCTGGAATATAAAGAGAAGATGAAACAACTGATACGCTGAAACTGACACGTAGAGATATTAGAACCTCAAGTGCGTCCACATCATACAGAAGGTGAGAACTCGCTCAGAGACAATCCCTTTGGTCTTCTAGTCTCAAGTTGCTTGTGTCTGGTAATTGGGAATTATAACAGGCTTGTCCTTTCACACCCAGAGGGAGAGAAGCATCTGCTCTGGTTCAGTTCATCATTGCTGCACCTGTTCAGCTGCTGTGGTTTTTACTGGGAGGCAGCGAAGCAGCCGGTGGAGTTTGGTTCTGCAGCTCAACTATCCGACAAGAGATCTTCCAAACGGTAAGTCTTCCTATTTGTTCAGTATTCCTCTAATGCCTTCATGTGAGATGCAAAATCAGGTCAAGTGTTGTGTGGATATAAAGTAACGCCAAAGCAGAGCCAGAAAGTCAAGAAATGTGTGCAAGACATCCAAAGTGCAGAATTCATGACGTGTTTGCTGCCTAAGCCCGGATCCTTCTACTTCTGTCTTTCAGCCAACACATTCTCTGGCCCAGTTAACCCATCTTTGCTGAAATTTTTTCCAATGGTAGCACATTTGTCATGGCATTATTTTGAGAGAGGGATGTGATCATTCGCATTAGAGTTTATTAAACTGACTTTGAAACAGGAAACTCTACAAGTTCCAGTGATTTGCTTTTGTTAGAGACTCTGATGCCTGTAATGGAAGTTCAAAATGATATTTTCTTGTTATTTCCTTTATCAGTGGAGAACACAGATGAAATGATATTTCTTATATGTGTGTGTCACCTCAGCTGCAAATTAACACTTCATTCTGGGTAGTGGTGAAAGTACATTTACTCAAGTACTGTACTTACGTAGAATTTTTAGGTACTTTGGTATTTACTTTTTTATATGATATAATACTTTATATTTCTATTCCACTACACTTCCAAGGCAAATATTTTACTTTTTACTCCACTACATTTCTTTTATACCTTTTATTTATTTTGCAAAATATAATAAATTAATAAAATATTATATGTATTTTTAGGACTTCATTGAAATTTTGGTGGGGAATTCAAAATCTAATAGTATATAAAGTAGTTAGGATTATTTCCACCTGTATCATCTGAAACATTAAAGTTACACATGAATAATCAATATACAACATCAAATAATTTGAATCCAATAATATATATGATTCTGAAATGTGCCATTCTGAACATTTTTACTTTAGAATGCAATTTATACTTGAGTATTTCTACACTGTGGTTTTGCTACATTTACTTAAAGGTGCTGAAAGTGATATTATGTTTGTTAAAATAAGTGTTAAACAGCTCTACATTCTGACAGCCATCACTGATGTAAGAGTGTTCAATCAGTTAATTGGGTCTCACAGTCCTTCCTTCCTGCACTACATTTTCTGGTATCCTGTTCCCACTTTATCCAATCAGGAGAGAGAATTCCACAAAGAGGCACTCCGGGTTGGGGAGGAAGCACGAACAGGAAGTTAGTAAAAAATGCAGAATTCACTTAAAGCTTTTTCTGGCGGCCCTGTGGACAAAAGCGGTACTGTTTCCAATCCTTGAAGGGGAACCTGGTGCCAGGCAATAAGAATAACTTTATATAAACATCCAATCTTCTTGCTGATGGTCTCATGTGCTTATAGGTCACATATAGAGGCATCAGAATTCATTTGAGACTGTTTCATGCAATTAAAAACTCCTTGTAATAAAGGTTTAAGTGAAGCATCCGGGTACTTCTTCCTCCACTGATTCTGGGTTTTATGTTTGTTTTTTCGCTCCAGGTCGAACTGCAATGAGGGTGTGTGCAGTACTCTGTGTTCTCTTGCTGTTGCTGAGTGAAGGCCTAAGTGGATCTCATCGTGACGGTTCCATAATTATCAGAAGTGAGGAATCACCTATTGACCCGAAATATACAATATATACATTACTTGAGTCATTCAAGTCCAGCAGATTAGATGTCATTTTCCAATGTGTTTTTATTTTTTATTTTTTCATCACAAAGTCACAACAAGTCACATAACTTTGCTAAGAATTACTGTTTTATTTTAAAGTAAAACAACCATTGAGAAAGAAATAAGAATGAGCTGAGATCGTCACTTCATAATAATGAGCCAGATTTTAAAATATATCCTTTCACAATGTATTATTATTATATATTAAACATATATTTATTATACATTTTGTTTGTATTTGTTCAAATGATTATAGATGTTATAATTACATTACATTTAACCCTATTCTTTTTATTTTTTTAAACCAGAACAGGGGTAGTTCTAATTGTTTTCGTAATGAGGGTGAACTGATCCTTTATTCCAGTCCTTGCTAGGACTGCCATGATTGGTTGGCATGCATAACATCGCCAATTCATGAGACTTACACATGATGAAATGTGGGATTTGTCTCTCGTCCAGATCCAGACATCGATGCCTCCTGGTATACAGGCAGAGGGATCAGACCGCTGGGGAGATTTGGCCGAAAGGTTGCGAGAAGAAACGAGCATCTGGCTTTCATCACAGCCAAAGTTTACAAACCAACAGCTGACAGTGAAAGCAACGCTTGGATCACACAGTAAAAATGCTATGAATCAGTGAATATCCGTGTTCTCATTTTTCATTGTTCACATTGTTTATGTGTGGGGTTTTATTTAGGAGTTTTCTGTAAACATGTCAATTATTTCAGTAGTTTTTTTTTCCAGTACAATATGGGCACTTTTAAGACTGTAACTATTGTTAGAGTTGCTGTAATGATGAGTAGCGATGGCACACGTGTGGTGGAGCCTCTGTTGCCTGTAACGTCTGTGACCAGCATCGGTAGGCAGCTCTGGTACCGAAACGAGTGTGATTGGGATTCGGTCCAGTAGATACCAGCCACATACCGTGTTTCGGTACGCAAACCTAGAAATAATCAAAAATTGTTAACTAATAAGCAACTCTTAAAAGTGTAATATAATGGTTTTGGCTTTTAGTTTAGTTATATTCTGTTTTATGTTGAAAGAGTCCGTCCTTGTGTGTTACTTCACTTCCTGCCTTTGTCTTTTTCCCGCCCGTTTTCAGTGTCCCATGTGTCTGCCTGATTAGTCTCACCTGTGCCTCGTTAGCCTTCCCTCACTAGTGTATTTAGTCTCTGTGCTCCCTTGTTTTAATGCCAGCTCGACTTTGTCAGTTTGTCAAGCATGTCGGGGCGTTTTTCGGGGGGGTGGTGGGGCTGAAATCTGATTGGCCACCACAAGTGCCACCCCATTATCCTTCCCGTCTTTCAGAGTGTGTAACAGGCGCTGTTAGTTTAAAGCTATAGTGAATATACTGCTATCATAACGCATCCAATGGTGTCATGCTAGCATGTAAGAAAGGGGGTTCAATAACGCTCCAAAGTTAAATTTGGGCGATGGCAAAACTAGCATGGCCATTTTCAAAGGGACCTCTCGAACTCTGATCTCAAGATATCTGAATTAAAATGGCTACTATGGGTACCCACGAGTTTTTTGCATGTGGGATAAATGTATTTTCTCCTAGTGTATTTGAATATTTCTGCATACTGGGGTTGGAATTGAATAAATTTGGTATGTCTTGGAAGCAGAGACACATAATTCATGCCAGCCCTGCATAAATCAGAGCACCTCTTGTACCTCCCCTGTCGAGAAAAAAGTTTGGAAACCCTGCAAGCATTCAAGCCCTTTCCCCAGTGTTTCCCAGTGTTTTGGACTTACTACCTTGATTTTCAGATTTTCTGCTTTATTTTGTTGGACTTGAGTTTTCCTGGCTAACCCCTTTGAATTTGTTTTCCTTTTAGACTGATTGTGTGATTTGCCG